AAGTCTTTACAAAATCCATCCCCAGAACACCAAGCTGGAGACTGCTGTGAAGCAATCGGAGGAGCAGGGTGAGACAGCCGTCAGCGATGCTCGCTGCAAGCTGGCCGAGCTGGAGGCCGCCCTGCAAAAGGCCAAGCAGGACATGGCCTGCCTGCTCAAGGAGTACCAGGAGGTGATGAACTCCAAGCTGGGCCTGGACATTGAGATCGCCACCTACAGGCGCCTGCTGGAGGGCGAGGAGCAGAGGTGGGTATCATAACCAATCTTCTCTCCCAGCCTTGCCTGGGCTCTCAGCTCGCCCAGTCCCTCACAGGCGTGGCATCAGTCCTCTCTTGTTTCCAAATATCCTGATCATGCAACTGGACAGGTAATTTGAATAAGTTCTTTGGATATGCTTCTAGCCCTATTTCAGTTTCTCATGCCCATCTGGTGCTGACCTGGAAGTGGCTCCTTTTACAAATCTGCACCTCTGTCAGGGCAGGGCAGGTCTGGCTATTGCAATTGCTGTTCCTGAGAAGCCCAGCCTGGGCTTGAGGTTTACTTCCCTTCATAGTGCTTCTGCCCTCCTGGGCCCTACACATGCCACTCAGCATTCCAGCTCTCTTTTCAAGCCCAGCTAAGGTCTCAGCTTTGGGAGTTCATATTTACCCCATAGGACAACTTCAGTAGGGGATTTTTATTAGCTTACACTTAGATATTCTAACAGCAGCGAGTACCCCTAAGTGGTCTTCCATCACAGCAGGTAGGACTTGACAGCAGGGTCTGTCCCCTGAGGCAGCTGTGTCACACTCCGGACATTTTTGTTTATGGATTGCTTTGGGGACCAGGTGCGGGGTGCGAGCGGACTCATTGGTCATTTGCCTTCTGCTGGCTGGAGGGCAGTTATGAGGAGAACCTTCGTGGAATGTTGCCCTTAGGTTCTTGCCCAGGTTGGTCAGGTGCTCACACCCTGAGCTTTCTTCTTCTGTATACAGCCAGGCCCTGGTCCTGGGCAGACGACAGGGGAGTGTGAGGATGTAGAGGGAGCATCTAGGGGCACCCTGTGTATTGGGGCGATGGGGACACAAGTTTGGTAGCTGGAATCAATGTGATCACCTGGAGAGACTCATAACGTACACAAGTAATTGCATTGGAGAGCTCAGAGGCACCAGGGCTTGCTGGGCCTGGGGAGTTTCATTAATGAAGAATTGTGAGAGGAAGAGTTTTCCAAGATCAAGTTTGGAAATTGGAGAGACATGTGGACATGGCCCTGGAAACGGAGTGGCCCACCTGTCTGCCACATGGGGCTCTGGGAGTGAACTCAGAAGCTTTGGTGTGGGTTCCCTAGGAAACCTGGGTATGGGCGATTAGACAGTGAATTACTGTGGATTCTCCTCACACCTCAAGCTAATTTTGACAACCCTTTGGCACTGTGCTCTCACAGGGACTCCCATGTATCCCCCTTAGGAGACAGCAGGCTGAGTTAGATGGCCCAAGTTATAGCCCTGTCTCTGTCATTGGTTATTTTCTGTCTTAGGGCCTCAATTTCTCTATATGTCAAATGAGGCATTTGGTATAGATGGTCTCTGAGCCTGTCCCAAGTAGGTTCTAAAATCCCATTTATTCATGCAATGCGACAGTTCTCTGTTGAGCTAGGCATTGTTTTAGGCACTGTTAGTTCTGCAATGGGGAAAAGAACAGACAAAAACTTCTGCCCTTGCCCTAGCTGGTTTGGCTCGGTGGATAGAGTGTCAACCTGTGGACTGAAGGGTCCGGGGTTCGATTCAGGTCAAGGGCACCTGCCCAGATTGTAGGCTCAATCCCAACTGGGGGGCATACAGGAGGCAGCCAATCAATGATTCTCTCTCATCATTGATGTTTCTATCCCTCTCCCTTCCTCTCTGAAATCAATAAAATTATTTAAAAAACAAGCAAAAACCAAAAATACCCCCCCCACAAACTTCTGCCCTCCTGAAGCTGCATTCTAGTGATACCAATCAGACCAGATTTAAGAAGTTACACCTGCTGCTCCTCAAATGAATTTATTTATTTATTTATCCTCACCTGAGGATATTTTTTCCATTGATTTTTTTAGAGAGAGTAGAAGCGAGGGAGGGAGAGAAACATCGATTGGTTGTCCCCCACATGCCCCCCGACTGGGGTCAGGGATCAAGCCTGCAACTGATGTATGCACCCTTGACAGGAATCAAACTCCCGACCCTTTAGTCTATGGGCCAACGCTCCCACCTCTGAGTCAAACCTGCTAGGCCTCAAATGCACTTACAAGCCAACCAGAACCAATAGGAATGGTAGCAGTGAACATTTCTGAAGCTCTGCCTGTGTGGCAGGCACTAAGCACTCACATGTATCATTTGATTTCATCCTCACTACAGACCTAGCAGTAGATGGTCTTCATGAGGAGGTAGGCGGAGGGAGAGTAAATCGGAGGTTCTCAGCTAACGGTGGGTGGAGAGCCAGGCACACCAGGCATTCTGTCTCCAGAAGCCACATGCTGGTGAAGCGCCCGCCCCCCCACTTCCCTGCCCCCGCGCGCGGCCCACCTGGCTTCTGGATTAGCCCCAGAAGGAGGGCCGCGGCCTCACCTTTCACGCTGGCTGCATCCGCCAGGTGTCGTTGCCACAGCACTGACCTCTCTCTTTTCTTTTCCCAATAGGCTGTGTGAGGGCGTCGGCTCCGTGAATGTCTGTAAGTAGCTCAAGCCCTTACCCTTCTCCCACGGGGGTGGTCCGAGGCCTTTGGGAGGGGGCATTTTCGCTTGCCCCAAAGCTGCCTGTCTGTGGCCGTGCCTGATAGATGTGGGTCTGTTCTCCCCTCATTCAGGCGTCAGCAGCTCCCGCGGTGGCGTCGTCTGTGGCGATCTCTGCGCACGCGGTACTGCCCCTGCTGTCACCACCAGCGTGTGTAACGCCCCCTGCTGCGGCAACGTGGTCGTGGGCACCGCCAACTCCTGCAGCGCGGGCTGCAACAGGTGCTAGGAGGCTGCAGCCGCTGCCAGCGCGCATCACCCACACCCTCCGCCCAGCCAGGACCTCGAGAACCCTGAACGCCCCTCCCGCTGCCCCACGCATCGCCAGCGCTGGCCTCCCAAGAACCAGTCCCCAGATGTGCTCACGCTGCGTGTCCTCCCGACCCTCTCCCTCTGTGCGCCACTCCCAGGCCCCCTGAGCCCGGGGAGGCTCGGGCAGCACCTTCGTCTCTTTCTGTCGCCTTTCTCAGTAGTCAGTTTGCTTTCCTGAGGGTTCATCCTTTCCTCTGCTTTCTGTTTTTTGCTGGATTCATTGGTCCTGCTTGACCCCTTCACCCAAGCTTGGAGGAGCGGCCCCCAGAATCTCCCTGTGCTTGTATCTGCGGAACAGAGCTAGGGAACGCGGGTGGTGGTTTCCCATGACGCTGTGAGGGCTGCCTGCAGGAGCTTCTAAAAAGCCAGTGACTCAACTGCCAGCAACTTCGTTTGTCCTTGTTTCACTCTGTGTTTCCAATAAACTTATTGTAGTGAATCAAACCTGATTCCTCAGAGTCTTGAAAACGCCTGGGCCCTCCTGTGAAAGGTGCTCCCTGCCGGAGGTTTCCTCAGGGCCTCTCCCTCCCGTCAGGTATTTTTTCAGCAGTTGAAAATGATTGCAGTACACACTGCCTTTCTGGCTTGAGCAACCCAAGCCTTGGGAAAGCAGAAGGGAGGCAGGGATCTTTGTGGGCACGGTTTCTCTAGACCAGTGGTTCTCAACCTTCCTAATGCTGCGACCCTTTAATACAGTTCCTCATGTTGTGGTGACCCCCAACCATAAAATTATTTTCGTTGCTACTTCATAACTGTAATTTTGCTACTGTTAAGAATCATAATGTAAATATCTGATATGCAGGATGTATTTAGGCAACCCCTGTGAAAGGGTCGTTCGACCCCCAAAGGGGTCGCGACTCACAGGTTGAGAACTGCTGCTCTAGACCAAGCTTTCTCAATGTCAACCCTATTGATATCTTGGGCTGGAGAATTCTGTGCGGTGGGGCTGCCCTGTGCACCATAAGGAGGTTGAGCAGTATCCCTGGCCTCTCCCCACCTGGTGCCAAGATGCCTCTAGGAATGGTCAAATGTGCCCAAGGGGTTCTCAGCAAGGAGATTTTGCCCCAGGGGGATTCCTGGAGGGGGGAAGTCCATGAGAAAACACGTGGAGGTAAGAATGGAAGGAAGGCATGTGAGACAAGCAGTGTGGGGGAGAATCAGGAGAACTGTGCTTCCAATTCACAGTCCTGACTCTGCCATTTCCCAAATGTGTGACTTTGGGCAAATTGCTTCCACCTTCCAAGCTTCAGTTTCCTTTGTCTGTAGAATGAAGGATGTTGGATCATATTCCTAAGGTCCCTTCTGGCTCCTTAAGGGAGATTATGCATTTAAAAGCATGTTGTTAATAAAAAGATATGTTTGAATGTTGGTTCAGCCATTTATCCTTTCCATAATCATGGGAGTAAATTCTGTAAGTACAGGAGCTGCAGCTATAAGGAGCAGCCCCTAGCCTTAGGCCAGAGAGAACATACCCAGGAAGGAGCCCCGGAATGTCACCTTCACCACAGTCTATTGGTCAAAGCTATTACAGAGCCAGCCCAGATTCCAGGGAGGGGGGGGTGGGGGTGGGGGGAAATGTACTCTACCTGTGAAATGAGGAGCAACATAGACAGAGAGAGGAGATATAGGGCCATTTCTAAAGATAACAATCACAGGAGGACACATGAGACAATACAAATAAACATTTAGAGTATAGCATGGCACGTAATTTATACTCAAAAATTGCTATTTATTATTGTTGTTACTATTACTATGATATCACAACAGCACAGATTTCCTAGGCTCTGAATACCAGGGGATGGTAAAGAAATACAGGGGCTAGAAGTCTGGACTCTTAGCTTCATATCTTGGTTTGATCACCAGGAGTATGTGGCCAGGCCTCTTCAGGCTTTTGAACCTCAGTTAGTTTATCCACATTTTGGGTTGACAACTGGCCTACGAAAAGAACAGGCACGACAAGAAAGGGCAGGCGCTGAAGGACTGTTACTCTGCGTGCTGTCACTACCATGACTGGCCTTCACTCAGTGGTCAGCACAGAAGGACCTGATGTCTAAATAGCTCGTATTCCTTAGGAATCGGCAGGAACATTCCAGAGAGGAGGCAGTGTCTCTCTGTGAAGCGTGGAAGGTCTCACTGATTGGCCCATACCATCTACCTCTTCAAAATGATGGGAAAAGTGCCTGGAAGGAAGTAGGAATGAGAAGTGACCTTGGATGAAGGAAGATTTGGTGGGATGGAGTTGGGGCTGGGGTAGGAGGGGGCAGTGAAGAAGAGTGTAGAAATGAAGGGCTCATTTTAAGCTTCTAGAGGGCACTGGTGAGCAGTCCCCATCCTCCCCCAGCAGTCTCAGAAACTTATTAGAGTCCCTGATGTTTTCATGCTCCAACCCCATCTCTTCATACGCATTTCCCCATGTCTAGGACACATCTCTTCTTCCCAGCTAACTCCTTATACTTTTTGCTGTAAAATGTAAGCTTCATGGAGGATAGACATCTTTGACTATTTTCTTCACGTATATGAGCCAAGTGTGTATAACAGTCCTTGGTCCATATTAAGCACGGTGTGATCATTTGCTGATTGAATAAATGAACTCCTGGTCTTCCTTTATGCTGCAGCTTCAATATTACTTCCTTCAGGAGGTAACCAGCTTTCTCTGGTTAATACTCTTCCAACTGTGCTTCCCTTTCCTCCTAATACCAAGGCCCAGGCCTCTTTGAAATGACATGTTTCCTTGATGAAGAGGTGGTCGAGGAAGAGAAGCTCAGGTATTCAGGACAGGAGGCTCTAACAGATGGAGAGTCTGCAACATTAGTCTGGCCTTGTCCCTTGAGCTGGTGGGGCTGGAGGGAGGTGCATCACTCCTGAGGCATGGAGCCTCCCTGGGCTCTCCCAGATGGCATCTGGATGACCTCCCAAGGCTGGTAGTGTTTATGGTGTCTTCCCTAAGCCCCTGGGAAGGGGGTGTTACAATCCCAGAGCAGAACTCAGAGCCATTACCTAAGAAAAGTCAGAACTAAAAAGACCCTTTCAAAGGCTCTGGTCCAGTATTCACTTGACAGGTGTTCAGAGCCCCCTGAGCCAGAGCAGGGGAGGAAGGTGCAGTCAATGGGAAGTGGTGAGAGGCACTGAGACATAAGTCAGAGCCAGGTATATAGGACTGATGTGCTATGTTCAAAGGCCCAGACTTCATCCTGAGGGCAATGGAGACCCCCTGGCAGGTTAGACTTGAGTTTTATAAAAGTCCCTGGTTGCTGTGTAGGTGGATTGGAAAGGGAGGAGAGCAGGACTCAACCAAGATGGTGGTGGCTGGACCACGGGTGGTAGCCGCAGGGAGAGAGGAAAGAGACGGATTAGAAGGATACTTAGGAGGTAGAGAAAGAAAGCACTTGGGAGTTCATTAGATTTAAGAGCGAGGGTATAAGCATATATCATAGGTTTAGATGTGGGCAGCTATGTTGAGGATCTTGACAGAGAGGTAGGAGAAGATGGGTGGAGAAGGTGAGAAATAGTGAGCTCAGCTTGGAGGTCTGTTTAGTGGAAGGGTCTCTAGGACTGCCAAGTGCAGCTTCCCTGTACAAACTGGGGGCATGGGTCTGAGGCTGAGGAGCGAGGTCAGGGCAGCAGGAGAGTCACCATGACTCTGAAGCACAGTTGGATGATTTTAACTGGAGAGGACACCAGTGATGGTGGTAACTGAAGGAGAGCTGCTTGGGAGGAGCTCAGGCCTGGCCTGTCAAACAAGAAAGTGGGAGGCCTGAGACTCTGAGAGGGAGAGAGGGTGACAGGTGAGGAGCCAAAAGGGCCCTAGAGATTCCAGGAGGGAGTGAGGAAAGGTGGTGGGTCCTCCTAGGACAGCATTGGACATGGATAGAAAGGTAAGGGCCTGAAGGGAGGTTGGTCAGCACTGGGGCTGAGGTAGGGCTGGGCAAAGGGAGGGAAGAAGAGGGCCGGTGAGAAGGAAATTTACTCCACTGGAGCAGGGCTGGGCCCAGGGAGGGCTATTCCATGCCTGGTTCTTCCAGAGCAGCGTTAGGGGCTTCTCAACAGCTCCCCCCTGGAGCTCCTAGCCTCTTTCTGAGTAGAGGCAAGGAGCAGTCAGGCCATGCAGGGGTAGAGGAGCCACCTTGGCCTTGGGATTAAAACGCTGATGGATCTGGGGACGAGGGTAGTCAGTGAGGCAGTCAAGAAAGCAAGTAGATGGTGGGGGGAAGTAGCTCCTCTTAGGAGTTAAGAGTTTTATTTTTTTTAAAAATTTTTTTTTATTGATTTCAGAGAGGAAGGGAGAGGGAGAGAGAGATAGAAACATCAATAATGAGAGGGAATCATCGATTGGCTGCCTCCTGCGCACCCCACACTGGGCATCAAGTCCACAACCCGGACATGTGCCCTTGACCGGAATCGAACCCGGGACCCTTCAGTCTGCAGGCCGACGCTCTATCTACTGAGCCAAAGCGGCTGAGGAAGGAGTTAAGAGTTTTTTAGGGGGCGGTCCTGGGTGCTGAAGAGGTGTGTATGGGGGGTGGAGTGGTTGGCAAGGTGTGGTGTCAAGGGTCTCATCTCCATTGTTTGATGGACAGTAGTGGAAATGGGTGGTATGGGGTCCAGATTGATACGGGTTGGCCATCTGAGGTAGCTGTTGGCACTTCCGGAGGTTGCTGCTGTGGTGCATGTGTGCGTGGTGTTGGTGGAGGTGTGTGTGGGGGGAGGGGATTAAAGCCAGATACACACACACACACACACACACACACCTGCCTTCAGAAGATTCCATGGCCTCCTCTGGTTCCCTTCAGCCAGAGGAACAAGTCTCAAGTCTCAGACTACCTCTGACAGGTGTGACTTAGGGGAAGGTGCTGTGAGCATAGCCAGTAACGCCTGGCCACGGGAGGATGGCACTACTGGGGATAGGTTGTTCTGTGGGTATCCAGGTTGAGGACAGGCCAGAACGACCCCAGTCCTCAGGTCATCTCACTGGGCTCATCAGTCAGTGGACATGGGCTCACTCTGAGCAAGTAAGACACCATAGCACAGAAAGCAGGTCCCCCAGTTTATTGGTAAAACAGAGGACAAGGGGCCAGAGAGGGAAGGGGGCAGTCCAGCAGGGAAGGAGAGCCCTCCTGCCTGGGAGGAGCCAGAGAAGATGCGGAAGAGAAGGGTCCATTCCAAGCAGCAGCCCTTTCTGGTAGGACAAGGTGAGCAGAGGAGAGACTGATGGGAATAAGCCGGGCGGTGTATTCGTAGAACACATGGGGAACAGCTACCGAGGCACCGCTGTTCTCAGCTGGGGGTGGGCGCAGTGGCGCGTCTGGCAGGCAGTAGGAGCTTCTCTGGCTCTCTCTGGGGGCAGCCTAACACCTCCCTAGGCCGGAGCCCCCTCCACAGGTGGTGTTGAGCTGGCAGCAGGGTGCGCACATTCCGGTGGGCACTGCCAGGTTCCCACCACAGGGGGCATTGCAGGCGCTGCCTACTACTGGTCTGGAGCCAGACACACAGAGGTCCCCACAGACGACTCCGCCCCGGGAGCTGCTGACACCTGTGAGAACAAGGGCTGGGTCAGATGTCACCACCAGCTGCCTCCCTTTGGCCTCTGTGATCTGTCCAGCTCTCCAGGGAAGGACTCAGAGAACCTTCAGTTCTCGTTCTGAAGGCGTGGAAGGAACCTGAGCCTGGGGGCCAGGAGCCTGGGGTTTTTCTGGCTCTGGTTGTCCTTTGTGACTTGGACAAGCCCCTTACTCTTTCTGAGCCTCCATACCTACACAAGGGGGTGGGGTCAGACTGAGCGATATCCAAGGCCCCTTCCTGAGTGACATATTACTCACATTACTATTCTTCCCCCCACCCCTCCAACCCCATTCGTGCTGTGAGGTTCTTCCTGTCAGCAAAGCGCAGTCTTTCCTGCTGCATGCCCAACCTCCTCCTATTCACTGAGGGAAGAACTGGAAAAACTCTTCCCAGTGTCTATACATTCATCCAAGGAATTCTTTTTGTCCAAGAATTTTCCTTTTTAGGATTCATGATACTTACAGACATTCACAGATCCAACGCCTTCACACAGCCTAAGTGGGGAAAAGGGAAGAGAGGCGCAGAGAAAAGAGGTCAGAACGAGGTCCTCAGGTTTCCCCTAGGTTATGGGGTGGGCGACAGTCACGTCTTTGTGAAACTTTGAAGAGTGCCTTTCTGGCTGCAGCAATGCCAGGGCACACTATTTGGCAAGCAGAGTACAGGTTGGATTCAGCATTCACTTACTCCCAGCCGGCTGCCTTTGCGCAGTGCACAGCCCGAACAACCACACCTGGCCTGTGTGCATGGGTTCGGTTTTAGGAAGGGGAAGGTTCTCCTGGGCAGTGACATGAGGCCAGGCCCAGGTTTGGCCAGCGACTCCACCTTAGGACAAAGTGACCTTCCAGAAACAAGGAAGGGAGAGGATTTTGGAAGAGCTGAGGGTAGAATAACTCAATGATCTTCTGAACTGATGGGAAGGGTGCCTAGGTTTTAACCCTAGCAAGGCCGGGTGCTGTTCGGGACTCTAGACATCACAGTGGCACTGGCTTTTGTTTTTCCTCTGTATGCCATGTCCAAGTTCCAGTCCTTAGAAATCAAGGATCCAAAGATCCCAGAATCTAGCTTGAGGCCAGTTCTTGGAACTGAGACTGAGATACGGAGGAATCAAAGGTGGGCAGATCTATGCATGTGGAGTTCTTGGGGCAACTGGGTTGAGCCTCACCTCTGTTCCTCGCCCTCCAGCAGGCGCCTGTAGGTGGCGATCTCAATGTCCAGGCCCAGCTTGGAGTTCATCACCTCCTGGTACTCCTTGAGCAGGCAGGCCATGTCCTGCTTGGCCTTCTGCAGGGCAGCCTCCAGCTCGGCCAGCTTGCAGCGGGCATCACTGACGGCTGTCTCGCCCTGCTCCTCCGATTGGGTCACTGCGGCCTCCAGCTTGGTGTTCTGGGGACCCAGAAGAGAACAAGGTGGGGTATGATTTCTGGGTCTCTTTGTCAATTTCCTGGATGTGTCCAGTCTCTCCCAGCCAGCTGTGAACATCCCAGGAACAGACCTCTCACCTTCATCACCTGGGTCTCCCTAAGTGACCACAACTTATAATTCTAGTTATGCAAATGGGCCAGAGGATGAATGGTGAGATTTAGATTGAGCACACATGGCCTGTGAGGCCATGGCCAGACCCTCAGCCTCTCTGGTGGCCCAGGGTGCAGACGCCCCGTACCTGGTGCTCCCTGTCCTAAGGTTTCTCTGCAGTGGAGATTGGATGTGAACTCTCCGTTACGTCGGGACTTCTGACTGCCCACTGCCATGTCTAGGAGGCAGGTGTCCTGGGCCACTCACCTTGCTGCGGTACCAGGACTCGGCCTCGGCCCGGCTGCGGCTGGCGATGTCGTCATACTGAGCCTTGATCTCGGCAATGACGCAGTCCATGTTCAGGTCCCGGCTGTTGTCCATCTTGACAACGACTGAGGTGTCTGAGATGTGGGCGTGGAGGACACGGATCTCCTGTGGGTCAAGAGTGAGGGAAGAGGAAGAATAACCAAGTTATCTGAACTTTTCTTCACCTGCTGAGGCTGATGCCTATCATCTCTGGACCATTTGGAGCCAAAGTCTCTTGTTTGGAGAGGAACTCCCTGATGAGATCACATACATTTTTGTCCAGATAAAAAAATCCCTCTTAGAAGAAAATGCCATTAGGTCTCAAAGGCTTGCTGCTGGAATTGTTCAGGCCCACGTGCATCTAGGCAGCTTCCTGCCAGCCAGCATGCTGTGCATCTCCCTTGGGGGCAGACCCTACGGTGGGGCCACGTCACATTCCCCTGGTTTGACCACACAGAGGGAAGCCATGGGCTGCCTTAGAAAATCTGGAGAACAGGTTGAGCCTGCATGATGATTCATGTGGCCTCTGCTTTTGGTTCCCCAGACACACTGTCTGTCCTAGAGACCACACACTCTTGCCCCTACTACTTCCGTCCCTTTTAGTTTTCCATTTTCTCTGTCTCCTTTCCTCCCTTTTCCTGCTCCCCTTCAACACTCCAGTCTCAAGCTGGGTTCCCACATCAGCTGGCCTGTAGGGTCTGGGCAGGGGTCGGGGTGCCCGCCATGGCTGAGTCCCTCACCTCCTCATACAGTCGCCGCAGGAAGTCGATCTCCTCGGTCAGGGCCTCCGCGTTGGCCTCCAGGTCTGACTTGCGGAGGTAGGCGCAGTCCACGTCCTGTGTGGGGTTCAAAAGGCCATGGAATTAGGGTTCCTTGGGATGCTCTGAGGGTTGGCTGCCGTGTGGCAGGGCAGAGAGGATGGGGTGGCCGGGAACTCAGGGTGGGGCTTGGCTTCAGGCACTCACCTTCTTTAGAACCACAAACTCATTCTCCGCTGTGGCCCGAAGTGCAACTTCTTCTTCATACCTGAGGTGGGCAAGGAGAACAGGACCCCGTCTGAGCAGCTCTTAACATGGCATAGAAGCAGGCATGCAAACATGCCCGATTCCTAGATCTCCTCTGGCTTGTGCCCCTGCCTCCAAGAGAAATGAGGCGGCACAAGGAAGAAATCAGGCTGCTGGTCCAGGCCTGCTGGGATACACTGGAGGATCGAAGCATCCACTCTCACATCACCTTTGAGCTCTCAGTTGGGGTGGGAGGGCAGGATCTGGAAGCTGTGTGTGCATGTGTGTGTGTGAATGTGTGTGTATGTGTGTGTATATGTGTGTATGTGTGTGTGTGCATGTGTGTGGGGGTGGGGGATTAGGTCAAGGGAGATGGATGTTTTTCTCACCCAGGTCTCCTTTTACCTTTCCTCTGACTCTTCCTTTTGCCCCTGGCTTTGGGATCCCCTCCTCCCGTTCTCCTCCTGGGCTCAGCCAAGAGGAGTCAAGCCCCCTGCTTCCTCCTGCTCTGTGGGCAGGCTGGCTTGGAGCCAGAGGCAGGGGGTGTGGCGGACTGGGAAATCCACGGCGATAGCCTTACTGAAGGCAGCTGGCCACCCCTCAAAACTGGATTCTTTCAGAGTCCCCAGTGTGTACCTGTCATAGCGTGTATCACACACGGTAACTGAAGGTCTGTCTGTGCCCCTACCACCCTGCCTCCCAACAGACTGTAAGTGCCACAAGGACAGGGACTGTGTGTCTCCTGGTTGTCCCTGGGCAGGGGTATCTGGACCCAGTCTGCCATCTGGCTGGCACCTGGTAGGCGCTCAGAAAGTGTTGAGTGAAGGAGTAAACCTACGAAGAATGTCCATGTCTTTGAGGGCTAGGCTCAAAGGGTCCAGGAATGTTAATTTTTCTGGGGTCTTAAGAGAAATGTCTGGTGGATGGAGGAAGGAAGAGAACGTCATTTCCCTGAGCTGCTGGGAGGAAGCTCTGGAGAGCTCCACCCCTGGGGGGCCAGGAAAGACAGAGTGCAGATTCTGCTCCGTCCTCAGGCAGAGACCCAGCCACAGGCTGGGACACATTCCTGTGTGGGAGCTCCCTTCAAGCCCTTTCCTGAGCCAGCCCTTCCTGCACTTACTTCTTCTTGTAGCCCTCCAGCACCTCCTGCACGTGGTTGAGCTCTGAGGCCAGCCTCCCGCTGTCGGCCTCCACACACTCGGCCTCGCGCCTCAGCGTCTCGATGTAGCCCTCAAACAGTGGCTCCAGGTTGCTCTCGCAGCACTTGCGGTTCTGGTAGTACTGCCACTTGGTCTCCAGCAGCTTGTTCTGCTGCTCCAGGAAGCGCACCTGCCGCCCAGAGGCAGAGCCTGAGTATCTCTTCTTGCAGGATCACAGGGCAAGAGGAAGCCCCAACTCGCTGACCCAGAGTCCTCCCTGATGGGGGGTTGCCATTTCTCAAAGACACACCAGGCCTTAACCAGCTCACCACCTGGAAGTCCTTGTGAGCTAACTTTAGTCTCTTTCAGGCAATTTATCTCGTGATCTGAGAAGCGCCAAACCATGCTGAGTCCAGCCTCTGCTGCTGCTTGTCAATAATGTATCCTTGGGCACAGCACTTAACCCCTCTGCAGGCTGATCGCCTCACTATGAGGGTTTAGCGAGCCCGGGTAGCAGGAGGCACCTGCACGCTGAACATCTGCTACACCAAGTGAGGTGTGATGGTCAGTGTGCAAATGAGCCGTTTAGCCCTTTTGGAAAGGTGGACTATAAAAGTTGAAAAATAAAATAGGTGCCAATTACTGAACCCCTACAACAACAATGCAATTAGTCACCTGGGATGTTCTGTGCTCCAACCCCCTCATTTTACAGATGAGGGATCCAAGTGATCCCCTGCCTGAGATCTCACAATGGCAGAGGAAGAACTCAAACTCTGATCTGCTGCCTTCTTGCAGGGTGTGTGTGAGTGTGCTTCTCTCACTACACTAATTACTGACTATTGGGCCCAAGAAAATCTCACACCCATCTCCCTGCCAGGAGGTTGACCCACATCCCGTTTACATCCCTTTGTCTGACACTGCCACACCCCTGGTCAGTCCTTTCTTATGTTATCCTTGGTCTCTCGTGTTGTTAGGGGTTTCAGATTTTCGGTGCTCACTAGTCTTTCCTGGAGGGTATCTCTCTAACATGACTTCTCTGAGGCTGGCTCTGAGTGCTCTCTTTGGCCCCAGAACTGCTTCCTCATTGGAAACTTCTCCCCCACCCCCTCGCACCACTGCCACACAGGGTGGTTGCCTGGATTCAGTGGAGAAGACAGCTTCACACTTGAGCTGGACGCTGACATCTGCAGATGGTTTCCGCTGTGCCCACCTCCCCATAGGGCCTGGAAGAGTGGGAGCTGTGCCTATTGCATGGTGGCTTGGACAAACCATGTTGGCCCCTGCTCAGTGTCTAAGTAACCACTGGTATGGACACAGCTCTGTGTGGTCCATGAGATTCCCGCCAAGCAGTCTTCCAGCACCACACTCACTAGCCTTGCCCTGGACACAGGGAGCACCTCCTTGCCATGTAAGCAGCTACTTGGCTTCAAGCACATTGAACACCCACATGGCAGCCCTTTGCTCACAAGATGTTACCTCTCAGCCCTACAAGTTTTGCCCCTAGTTCTGCTCATGTGTTTTCAGTTTGTCCCGAGCATCAGGCTGGCAGCTCTTGATCCTATTCTTGTCGTTCTGTCTGTGTCCTAGAGGTATAACTGCCCCTCCCTTGGGACTTGGAGCCCCTCTGGGTAAGCCTGCCTCTGGCTTCCCCCCTCAGTGCCCAGCCTGAGTCCTGAACATGGGTGGAGTTTAGGAAGGGTGTGCTCAAGGACACCCACCTTCTCTGTGGGCACCCTGCCTGCCTGGACAGAAGTTGTCTACAATAACATTGCTATCAAATCAGGAGCCCCTGCCCAATACACAGCTCTCTGTCAATGTGGTCCATCTCCATCAGATGTGGTCCATCTCCTCCATCAGGCTGGGAGCTCACCAGAACCACATCCCTCCTGCCCCTGACTCCTCTCCAGTGCCCAACCCAGCAACAGAGGGTTCAGGGAAGGGCTGGTCAGGGACACCCACCTTGTCGATGAAGGCCGAACCTGCTCTGTTGAGACACTTGATCTGCTCCTTCTCCTCATGCTTCACGCACTGCGCATTGGGGTCGATCTCCAGGTTGAGGGGCGTGAGGAGGCTCTCATTGACGGACACGGTGGTGATGCAGGGCGGGCTGGGCCCGCACACGCCGCCTGAGCGGTATCCGAAGCTGCGTCCACAGGAGCCAGAGCGGAAGGCTCCGCAGACGCTCTGGCTACCAAAGCCCCCTGTGAGGCCGCGGTAGCAGGAGACCCCGCGGTAGGGGGCGGCGGTGATGCAGCAGCGGCCGGGGCGGCGC